TCTGAGTTTCATCCATTTGAGAAAGCATTTCCCCCTTGCTGTAACGCTGCTGAAACTGAGAGCAACTGCAGAGCTTCAGCAACCCATGTTCAGACACAGGTATCACAAGACTTTCTAGGTGAAGAGTCCTCCATCCTGAATCGCAATTTTACCTGTGAGCTCACAAAATCTAAATTATTTGTCAACAGGTGGAACACAAGGAAACACCCAGCTTTCCTTGTATATTTGCCTTAACAGGGTAAGTCCATGTTACACAAGTATAGGACAGGAAAACTCTGTAGATAAATGTTCATAAGATATCTTTGGGTTAAATGGTATTTCACATACTCTGGAGACCTATAACTTTGCATTTAATAAACTAAAAATGAGCAAACTAAATACAAAGTCATCATTTACAAATGCAATTAAATCTTTAAATGCCTTGTCAGTAGATACAGTTAAGCAAGTACTCTGTCTCTCTGCACCCTAATTACAATTAAAAGCATCATATTGCCATATTTAATATTGAATAATTTCTTAAAAATTACATGGAAAGACTTGCTCAAGAATCCAAAAACTACTAAATGTCAACAAATAAAGACGCTAGCTATACCAAAGAAACCACATGCACACATATCACTTGTGTTGGCTTATTCCATTAGTATTCTCTCAGGAACCAAAAGGAAATCCTTTGGCCAGCTCAAACAGAGCCTCGCCTCACAAGATTCCCTCCTCATTGCTAAATTATTGCAGTTACTGTATTGAAGAATGACAAAAGATCTGCCTGGCATTCCTGAAGAGTGGGTCTATCTTTCATTGAACAAAAGACTGAATACCCAAATCAATTATGAGAGGAAAATAAGTGGCCTCACCAACTTCCAGCAGCAGCTCTTATAAGCAGTTCAGATATTTCTGTTGTCAGAGAAAGATAAAGCCCACATTGCAACAAAGTACATTTTAACATCCCCAGTGATTTTAGTCAGTATGTGGACAGCAGTTCACTTGGACTGTAGTATGCCAGAAGTGTAAGCCATTTATTGTAAGAGTTTTACTATGCCACTGAAAACTGCATATTTCATAAAAAGTACTATGAAATTTGATTTAAGGTTACCTGTAAACTGTGCCCTTTATAATTCAAGCTTAAGCAGCTTGCAAGATTGTCTACTTCTGTTCACTTGGCTCATTCAGAAAAAAAATTCTCACTGATGTTAGAATGTTCTTCGTCGGGACTCACCTTGTTTGCTTTACTATCATTTCCTTCATCACACTTGCTGACCTTTCTCTGATTCACCACACCTTAATCAGGAAATCATTCTATTTAAGTTGACAGGGCATTAAGTTTGGAGGTTTTGATTTTGACTTCAGCCACACAAGTGGTGTTGGGCTTCATGATCTGTTCAGGCTCATTGGAAGTATGATTCTGATACTGTATATTTACTCATAGACTCTCAAGTATCAATGTATTTGAAGTGTGTGTGGATTTGTGTGTGCGCACATGTGTACATATGCACTGAGGAGGTAATATTTTCCATGATTAAAACATTCACCCATCTGGAATCATTCAGAAAGGAAATACATGTTCAAAATTCATGCTAGCTTTGAAAACCTCAATACACTGTAGATGAATAAACACTGTACATGGATTAGACACATACCGGGCGACTAGTTTTTGCTGAAACTTACAGTGAGTAACCAGCATCACTTTAACTGCGGACAGACGAGCACCCCATCATAATATGGATACATACTCAAACACACAATCTCATCCAGTAACATGTGTGCCTAGATAAGAAGAAAAGCATTGAAATAATAAAAAGGGCTCAGCAGAATTACTAATTTAGTGGAAAGTACAGCAGTCCTCAAAACCTTGGGAAGTTTTCAGACTACTACTTGGAAGTAAGTCCAGCTCTACATCTAATCAGGTCCATTTCTGTTCAGTACATTTGTTTATTTATTCTCCAGATAGAACAAGGGATAAAAAGCAGATATGCATGAAACTGACAGCCACAGCTCTCTTTTGTTTAGGATCATCCATTGTTGAATCATTTTTCACTGCAGCCAAAGGGTCTGTTTGAATTTCCTGACTGTTCATCACACATAATTTGAAGTATTTAACATTATGTCAAGAAAATCACCCACTGCTTCCCACCGTGGAAACCTATGGGAGCTCTATATCTTTAAACTAATTTTACTTAAAGTATTCCATTGAATAGCGTGACTGTCTCACTCTAATCAGTGCAGCAGTAATGTAATTAATCTCAAAATTGCTGTGGGGAGTACAAGGCATCTCAGTTACTTGTCGTAACAATCTTAATTAGTGTATTACTGAAAGATGTTGGGGAGGAACAGTTCATTTTAGGTAAATGCTGTCAGGGTATCCATCCTTTCTATTTCTAAAGCTGAAATTAAAACTATCATCATAGTTCTGCTTTTGAAATCCAAATGAGTATGTTTTGAGGTGGGAAAGTGTAATTAAATTTGATGTGGTATTCCTACTGATGCAGTTTTGCATTTTATAATAATTAAATTTGTTTGAATAAAAATTCATGTTTTATTTAGAAAAGAAAAACTGGTTTGGCTCAAAGCATGCCATTGTATCAGAACAATTCCCTTTTGTCACTGAAACTTCACAGACAGCTGCTTCTTCTTTTACTAAGCAAAAAATTATTCTTGCTGTTTTACTTTTTGTACAGCCATCCTTTAACTGTTCTACTTAGAGATATTTTGACTGGGCATGTAACTGCTCTAATGTACAGCATATCTCAGAGATGAACTTTAAAGAACTACATTTAAAAGAGATTTCACTAATAATAGTGATCAATGATAATAAAATGCAGAGAATAGCTGATGCATATGCCTGGAATCCCATACTTGTTATTGTTTAACCCCATCCCCTCTTCTCAGGAACTAAATCAAACATCAAATGATATGAAAAACATTATCCTAATATAAAGGTTATGAAAGGTGATGAAAGTAGTAAATAGAGGCCAGTTTGGCCTGTTATTCCCTATGACATCACAACACAAGAATAGGAAATGTTTTCAGTTTGCTATTACTCTGAAAAAAAAAAAAAAAAAAGCAGAGTAAATTTTTATCTTTTAAGGTCTGGAGATTAATCCTTCAACTGCAGATAAGGAAAGAGAGTAAGGGTAAGAGTTGAAAGCACTTGTTGGGCAGAGTTGAAAGTAATTCTCCTGCTCCATGAACATATTCCCCAATGTTAAAAATACATGACAGCACATTTGTCAACTGTCTGACAGAAAGTCAGATACTTCATTTAGATGTTGTTTTTTTTCAGCAATGATCCAAAGCAGAACACTGAACAATCCAGAGAGATTATCACCTAATCTGCTCTTTTAATACATATAAGAAATCAAAATGTAAGTAAAACAAGCACTCAATAATTAAAGAAATGCATAACAGTAAGGGCCTGATTTTAATTTGCATAATTTTTCCCTTAATAGTGTCTAATTAAGACATCAGTTTTAAAAAAAAAATCCAACTGAACTCTAAGATTTTCCACACTGAATTAATGTTAAGGACTTTTAATGGATGTCTTAATTAGACTTTGTTATTCATGGAAATTTTACACAAATTAAAATCGGGTCCTGCATGCAACATTCCCATCTGAGTCTCAGCAAAAATGCTATATGGGACTGGAAGACTTTTAATCCATGCACAGATAGCAATTTGTATTCTAAACCTGACATATTCCATTTCCACTTTTTGGTTTAATCTACATTAATATTGTAACCAGCAAAAATCACATAGTTAGGATTTCTCCCTTTGAAGTAAATTTTGATTTTATGGACCCACTTTTTTGGGGTTTTTTTTTTTTGAATATGTAGAGAGTCATGCAGCTGGACCAGAGCATTAGTCCATGGGGACAATAGCCACAATGACCTTTTGAACAGCCCAGAGGGGCCATATCTGTTATTCAACACAGAAAGTTTGATTCAGTCTCAAGTTCTATTGCTGTGGTGCCTGAAACACATGCTGAAAGGCCTGTCATTATTGGTGAAAAACAAAACAAAACAAAGCCCAGAACAAAATGCTGTCACAGCAACCCCTTCATCTCTGATAAGACAGTCCTTCCAAAGGAACCTAACTCTTAGGAGCAGGAAAACCTGACCGTTTTCAGTTCCCAAGTCTCTTCCAGAAAACATGCCAAAGTACAAGCTACAGGGCTTCACAGAAGCCTTTCAGACAAGGCATCAAAAATAAATAACAGCCTGAGCAGCAAAGATTGCATTACACTAACACTGGAAATATTCCAAGTATTGACAGACCAAGTCTCAACTGCAGTTTATCCTATAGTGCAGATCACATGCTAACTCTATGTGCTGATGCCATCACGGAAAGCAGTTTTGCGCACAGCTTTTCACAGATTACTTTGTTAATGAAAACCATGTTATTTTCCTATATCAGACATGTCTGAATCAGTGTAGCAGCCAGGAACTCATCTGTTACTGCATGTTCACCACAAAAGGAAGAAAAAACAATTTTGTGGGTCGGTGCTGTGCTCACTGCAGTAACGTCTTTGCATCTGTGCAAAGAAATGTCAGGTGCCTATGAAACAGGGCAAGCATTACCTTGCCAGAGGTTATCTTCATTGTCAGTCTACAAACATACCTGTATGTCTGTGCATATGCACATGTGTGTGTGTATGTATCGGAGCACTCCTTGAGCCATCCTGCAGCATGAGCTTCGTCTCAGCAGCCCTGCGTGGCCACAGAGGTGCCCAGACTGCAGAAGTGGGGCAGGACTAGGGCCTGCCCTCTTAATGCTGCTGGGTCATTCAGTACAAGTATTTTTCTTACGCTTGACAGAGGAACAGCGAGTGGATGTGATTAACCTGCACCCTTTATTCAACCATGCTGAACAGGAGTAGTTGCTGGGTTGCTTATATGCCAGCTCCCAGCTTGCTCTGAGACCAGAACTAGTGAGATACTGGTCTAGGCGTCCTAGACACACATTCCTCACAGGATTTCGTTTTGAGGGTTTGCATTACTTTACAGTACCTGGCTAGTCTGCGGGCTGGACGGGTCATAAGAAGGTACATAATTCTTCAGAGTATCCTGAGGATTCAGGTGGGGAGGATATCTGATCGTTGGATGAGAGAAGTAGCTAGATGGGGCAGGAGGAAGAATAGCTTGTGCTGGAAATGGCAATGGTGAAGGTGGAGGTGGAGTTCTAGTTGAGATGACTAGAGAAGATAAAACAAAATTAAAATTACTTTGCATCTTGTTTCTTCTAAAATTCTTCACCTCTATGTTACAGCAAGAAAAATAGTCAGTTATAAATCAGTACACTGCACTCCCGCTTCATGGTATCTTTATAGAAAATTTAACATCTCCTCCCCTCATATCATCCCAGGCAATGGGAAGTGCTATTTCAGATTCATAAATACTGTATCTTGTTTTGGTTTTGTGGGCTACACCATCATATTTTTTTTTCTTTTTTATTTTAAACAGTGATCCAGCATAAAAGACATTTCAATTACACAGTTTTCCCCATATGCAGCCCAAATAAACAAACCAAATAATTCACGCAATAAATTAGACCTACACTTTTATCCACAGGACTCCAAAAGATGAGAGCAAAGTCACCAAGTACTAAGAAACAGTAAGAAATCTCTCACTGCATTACACTCTATCTGCCTCATGTGGGGACAGGGTAATAACTACTCATCAATAAAGCCATGAATATTAGCTGACCTTTGTGAAAATGCTCATGAATGTTCAACTTCAGTACCTAGGAAACCAATCCATCCAATAAAAATATCTCTGACAAACAAAAAAGTATCTACCCTATATATATTCCTCCTTGCATTCTCTTTCTTCCCAGATCCTACAAACACACACTATCTATAGACTATATGTAATGTCTAAACAACCAGCAATGTTTTCACAGTGAAAGGAATGTACAGCATGTCCTGCTGCTTCTCTGTTGCCCAGCTGGAAGTGCAGAGTGTTCTATCATACTGCACCACAACCTGCTTTCCACCCTTACTACACATCTAGAGGGCATCTACTTGGCAGCGTATTAAAAAGAAAGTACTGACTTCAATGGAAATGGATAAAAGACAATGCTGTTTTCATTTTTATTAGTGGGAGGGTTCAAAATCTGTGTAAGTGAGGTATTTTATAAACTGCTCAGAGTTCTATACTGCATCAGCACAAGCATACCAACACTGCTGTTCTGGACCATCTCTCATGCCTTTGTTTTCTTTCAGCTTAATTTTTACATGTCTTGATATTTTTGAGCTGGGACAAAGTCATAGTTTGCCCAAGAAAAAAACAACAGTAGGAATGTTCCAAAATTGCTGTACTTGGTAACTAAAACCTTGCAAATCTCAAAACCATTGCTCACTGACATAGTAGAACAGGCTACACAGAAATTGGGTTTCCTAGCAAGTAAATAGCTCATCTACAAATTGGGTTACAACTGTCACTCAACTACATATATCTAAAAATTTTATACTACAACAAATATAAAGATCTACACATAAGTATAGGGCTAAAAATAATTGTGGAATCTTTTTTTATGACAGGGTCATTTTAATCACAGCCTGATCAGTTCAGCATAATCATAAAACATTAGTTACTGCTCTGACGTGGGAATTGTACAAAAAACCACAAGTGAGCAGAAATCTATTCTTCTGTTTCACCCATCATCTCTGAGGTACTTGAGTATTTGCTGATAGTGGAAACCTTATAGAGACCAGAATGAGGCCAGGCTCACTTTTGTAATACAAAATAGGTGGTTACTGGGGGGAAAACAGTCCTTACACATGCGCGGAAAGATAGGAACTTGAAATCATGGGAAATCACCAAAGAAACTTCTCAAAGGATAACTGCATGTTAAAGAAAAGAAGAAAGAGTCCTTAAGTCTGTTTTACTCCTCTAGTCACCCATCTCTGCTCACAAAATTAATCCCTTTATATACAGTTTGTAAGAAGATATGATGGGCTGCTGAGGGCAGACTTCTAAGGGCTGTGTTCTCATCTGAAGAATCAGAGTCACTCTCACCTCTAACATTAAACAGACAATGATGCTGGAGTTTTCCTGTCATTTCTAATGAACCCTCAAGATAACATGCATTCTGACACATTCCAAGTCTCTCCTTCACATTTTAAGTGGAGTTTTACTATGGATTTATTACAGATTTCAGAAAACAGATGTTGAAAAATATTTATCAGTACTCTATGTCTTTAGATAGAGCTTATTTCATTGTGTCACATAATTAACATGGTTGTGACTTCTCTTATGTATTAAATTCGACCTATTATGGTGTTTAAATCCAACATAGTCATAGCAACTGTAATAAAAAAAGATGTAGGTGGAAGGAGGAAAGACAGGGAGGATTTTTCCTCTGTCAGTTTCTTCATGCAGTTTACAGCTTATTTTATTCATTAGCTAATCCTAAATCCTTTCCAGTGACTTGCAGCAGTCAGACTACCTGAACTGAGTTTAATGAGCATTCCTGCAAGGATACCCCAACCTCTCCCATTTTTACTCTCATCAGTATCATAAATGGGATTACGTCTCTAAGAAAGTCTGCAAAAATGCATCACAATCTGATTGTAGGAAAGGAGAATAGATCAAATGAACAGGGAGGTATTTTTTGCGCCTCCATAACCCTCACCACTGTGTGCAACTCCTGGGATTCCTGGGTGGTGATGCTGGGGAAAAGTGCTCAGTCTCGGTGAAGAATCCTGGGGAGAAGTAGGACTAAACAGAGGCTTTTCAGGTTTCTTCATTGTAGGAGAAGCCATATCTGCAATAGAATAACAATGGAACAGTGACATTAGCTTAGAAGCCCATCCCAGGAGACGTCATTTTGTAGACTAAAAATATTTATTTTTACTGTTCCCACATAAATATTGCTTGGTGACCCTATTCCCCTACGACCAATAAGCTAATTTTAAACTATTGCTTTCAAACCTGAGAATGAATAATAATCCCCTAACTGGTGCAAAACAGAAACTACATTCCTTTCATACCAGACAAGCCAAACAGTAAGAAACGCATGTCTTCAGAACCTCCCTAGACACTTCTCAGCTCCTAAGAACATCACCAAATCATCTGCTCCTTCAACAGCCACATAATCTTTATTGCATTTTTTAATGGAACACCTACACTCAGGTGTGTAGGGTAACTGCCATACACATGCCGGTTTATGGTATTTATTATGTTGTTATTTCAAAAACCCATCCCTTACCCTTCCCAAAACCATAGTGAAATAATGTAACCTTACTAAGAATAAAGGATACTTTAACTTCTCTATCTCATATTTTCCATGTCTCAGTAGAGCCTTCCCACCTCTTCCTTCCAGCTTACCTATCAACAAAAACATCTCTTTAGAGCTCACTGTGTGAAGATAACACACTAAGTAGGGACGAATGTGTGATTTCTGCCATGCAGCGTTACTGATATTTCATAAAGCAAAAATACTGGACTCTTTCTGAAAATTTAAATTAATTAAACAACATTTGTTGGACTTCGTGCCAAATTATGTCAACATTAATTATAACATTTTTATAGGACAGACATTGATATCATAAGTGGGTTTCATTTCAAATCAATGGGACTGACTCATTTTTAAAGCAAAAGTAATTTCTTAAGTACTTTACTGGACTGGGGCCATGTTGCAGATGACTTTCCTACATGGACCACGGTACCCCTTAAAGGGATTTTGGCACTTTTAGTATTGGCACACTGTATTGTGCCATTCTGGGAGACATACAATCACCCTGGAAGTCAAAGAGAGGCCTGCAAAATGTGAGCACCTTACTGAGACCAAACTGGCTCCCTGAACTGCCTGGAGTTTAAGAGTGGTTTTTCACCCTGAAAGCCATACAGAGAGCAGAACCCATCAAACGAAGAGACCACTTGTCTGCTCTGCCCCATCCCACTGCCAAGCTCTGCACAGGCACTGGAACCAGACCCAGGGCAGACTCTGCCAGTGCCCCTCCACCAGCCCTCTCTGCAACTCCCCTGCTCTGCTTTCATCCTGACTACTTAGCCTGCTGATTTCCCAGATACCCTGCAAGATTCAACATTTCAAGAAGGCTACTGAGAAAGGATTTTATTCAGTGAAACATTCAGCAAGAGTAAGGAATTGCTTTACAATAGAGCAATTCAGCACTAATTCAGTTTTAACAGATATGACAATAGGTTACTCTATGCTTGTTATCATACTGATCTGTTGCAATTTTACGTTACCAAAAACACTGAGTGTTGACAGAGGCATCTCTAGCTGTCTTATAAAACTTTGTTGTTGAGGAAGAAAACAGAGGAATATTTTGTTTCTTTGAATCTACCTAAAGTTAGCAAAGACAAAGTTGCCAAATGGTTACAGTTTCATTGATTACATCCTGTTAAACTAAGAAATATTTTTTAAAAGTGCAGGACAGATTTTTTTTTAATTGAGTTTTACATAGATAAACCATGATAAAAAGGCACATTAATTCTGAAATTATTTTCAAATATGTCATTATGTTTTATCTTCTGCTCAAATGACAGCCCTAGCCTCTTTCATATAAGGCTGTTGTTTCATCAAAGCAAGAAAGTCCTCACACCTTCACAATGGATGTTGGGTTTTTTAAAAGCCCAGGACAAATTTAACCAGATATGGTCTGTATTGTGGTTCTGTGCATGCACAATCTCTGTCTTGTCAGAAACACTGCAATGTTACAGTCTGAGAAAAAAGGTAAGTGTGCCTAATAGCTTGTACACACAGCCTACCCACTACAACACTGTCCTCATCAGTAGTTGTCACAGAACTTACCAGTGGCCAAGTATCTTGTTGACTCTACCACATATAAGCTATCACAAAAGAGAGAATGTACAAACAGTTTAATTTTATTTCACATTCAAAGTACTGCACTTAAGTCTCCCTAAGGGAAAAACAAACCATGGGCTGGAAGTGGAAAATCTTTTCCTTATATAAACCTCATATTCAACAAAAGAACCCATGAAAGAAAGAGCTGCCTAGCTCCTGAAGGTCTGCATGTGTCAGCAGCTCTGATTTCTGGAATGCAACAGAGATTTAATTTGGTTGGTGGCTGTTACTTCATTAAACAAACAAAAGTTGTTTTGTTTTTCAAAACCAAAATATTTTAGTTGATTGAAAGAAGTATGTTATACGGAGTGCAATGTAATCAGAGTATCCATTAACCCCCCAGTGGCATCACTAATTTGAAAAGAATCCACTGAAAAGGAGATTGGTGACTATAAGAACCTTAGCATTTGCTTTAAAAATGTGTAAATTTATTCCTACTCCTACTTTACAGAAGTAAGAATTGTAGTCAGCAGAAAACAGACAGCATAAATTACAAAGCAAACACAATGAACGTCTCATACAGAAGACTGTTTCCTTATCAAGGTGAATGCAACTGGTAGTCAGGAATAGAAAATTCTGTATTGACATAAAAATGTTCATTACCCACCAAAACAGCAACACTAAAATACACCGCACAGCACACCACCATGAAGTACTTTCAGAAGTCTCATTATATATAGCACAGGCAACTGCAAAGAATATTGCCAGAAGTGTGGGCAGGACCTTCTTTGTTAAAACAATGAACTTCACATTGAGAAGTAATTCAGATAGCCCCTTCCGCCCTCAGCCCCCACGGCTCTCCCCGTGTGTGCCTGGCTATCATAACACAGCATTCATGCTCCTGACACTGTCGAGTAACAGATGCAGTCAACAGGGGAGACAAAACAATAACTGTTCATATAGGTTAGGAAGAAAGGCTGTAGCCATCTCCTCCTTGACCAAGACATAAGGCTTAGAGATTTAACAGGAAAATACAGAAGTGACTTTTCTTCAAACAGTTACCAGTTACAAAACGTGAAAAAAAAAAAAAAAATTAAAAATGCAAAGCTGTTTTTCACTGTCTTTAATTTTTCTTGTAATAAAGTGTCTTTAAATACAGCAGAAATAGTAAAGTGACAGTGAGACTATATGATTTTACGAGTAACTTCTACATAATGGAAAACGCATATTTTCTCATTTTAAAATGTATTAATTTTTCTACATCATGAGATATAGTCTAGTAGCTACATAGTGCCTAGCTATATACTGATAATTACATAATGAATGACAGAGGTCACAAAAATAGGCCCCTTGCTCTTACGTCTGTGTCAAAGTTTCAGGAATAAGATTCCAATCCTCATTACTTTGAGAATGAAATAAAACAGTTTCAAGAATGATTTATTTTTAGACTTTTGGAAAAAATGCTAAGTACAGATGAAAAGCAGAAAGATGACAAAAGCACACAGACAAAGTTATCAAAAGGTCAACATTAATCAGGCACTGTGTCCTCTCCCAGTAAGAATATTCTTCAAATGTGAAAAAAGGGCGTTTTTTTTTTTTTCTTTTTACAGTTCTCAGTGCTATTCAAATCACTCTCGCCTGTATCCTCATATTACTGTGGAGATACAGTATGTATGCACCCAGATGGGTGGCATACTATACATTTTAAAGCATCACATCAAAGAAAAACAGGCTTATGCAAATAAAAGGAGTTAGATCATTTCATCTCCCATCAAGGTAAATCTGTCTACACAGGAAGGCAGAAGAGCTGCTGTGAAGCACAGCGTATGTAGCCTGCTCATCAGCAGCTTGCACAAATGGTGCTCCAGATGTATAACTGTTCAAGACAGCCTAAGGCAACAATTTTGATCAATTCTAACGTGATAAAATGCTGCAGGGAAAGTGTGCAGAAACATGTTTACGTCAGCCTTTAATTAAACTGTTGTTCACTTTCAAAGAACCTTAGGAAACACTAATGAGATATGAGTTTTGGCAATTTCCTCATCAAAGCAAAGACCCTCTGCCTCAGTCTGAAGCAGCTTGTCATCCTGGCAGTTCCCTGGACCAATGTCACCTTGGCACACCACTCAGCAAGCCACCTGTTAGGAGAACTCAGCTGGAATTGAGCAGTGATCCAGGACAAGTTCAAACATCCACCTGCCTATTTCTGGACACTCGATCTGCTTTCTTGCTCACCACCACAACATGGCAGCTTCTCTTTCTTGTTCATGAGACATGCTCATGACCAGAATAAGAAGAAATCATAAAGAAATACTAAATCTCTCTTAATCCCATTTATTCTTAAACTGTTCTTATTAATATCTTTTCTACCTCTTAGTTTCACAAGTCTTTCTTTACAAGTTATGCTCCTGCAGACAACAATCTGTAAAGATTCATTTACCCCTCAATATAGCATCACCATCATAGAAAGAAAGATAAAACAACATTCAACTTACTGTATATACAGTCATAGTGAAAGCAGGAAAGCTATGGAGTTCACTTCACCACTGACAAGCTGTAAGAGGCATCCATTCATGCTACAATTTTAAACGATCTGCTCTTTTCCCAGAGGCAGTACCTGGGATAATTTCTGGTGGCAGGATACACTACATACATCACATCCAGCTGGGCCTCACTTTTCACTGCCTCCACCACAACTGGTAGGTACGCTTGTGTGAAGCATGTGTGAAAATTTTAAATTCACGACAGATAGCTGGATGTTGATGATGAATCATGACAAATCCCACTGTGCTCAGGAGAATCAGTTTTGTTTCATATTTGAGCATGTGAAGAACTAGCAGAGCTATTCTGCACAGGCAGATCCAGCATCACCAATTTTTAGATGTGTTCAGTCTGATTTCATTTAATGTTGTAAACATTATGTATTTCTCAGCTGTAAGTCTTAACAAGGCACCTAACAGTGCCTATTGACAGCTGAATGACTCTAAAGCACA